TGATAATGGGTCTAAATAGTCATTGTAATCTCGGTTCTCTTGGCCATTGATTGATCTCAGAGTGGGCAGTTAAGTTAGTTCAGTGTCCTAACTTAGAGACATGAGCTTCAGCTATGCTCCTTAATTTCTGAAGGCCTTGACATTTCTAATTAAACAGGAATTATAAAGCAATACTAGAAATCTTCCAGAAAATGCAATGCATCCCAGGCTCCTTTATAAAACCAATCCCAGCCTCTGACTCTGATCGCCTTTTTTCACCCACCCTTCATTATATTTGGGCCCTCCCAGCTCGGCTACCTTACACTGTCCAGATCAGTGCAAAACTGTTGGAGAGACCAGTTCTTCAAACACACTGACGTGTATGTCTGTTATCCTATTGGCTGTGACATTTCACCACAGTCTTCTGAATCCCTAAGGAAGACTGAAATCTCATCACTACTAACTCTTAGATTAGAGCTGGGCATTTATGATAGAACTTAAATTAGTTATCATCACTAACAATATTTAGCACATGAACAAGTATTATTATTTCAGTTAAATTACCATAGCAATTCACCCATTTGTTCATTCATTCAGTAGGCAAATTTTTAATCGATGTTCTATGTGCTATAGTGATATCAACACTATCCCTCTCTATGTATACAGTTGCTTATTCAGTTTAAAAAGCACTTTCAAAACTTTAGGGTCTGGGAACTAAGTTATAATGGAGAGGAAAGTCAGTGCATAGAATAAAGTATGCTTCTCTCATTGTACCTACAGGTATTTGCTAATAGAGTTGTGTGTACAGTTACATACCTGTTTTTATTTGTTTCTTTTTTTGAGATGGAGTTTCGCTGTTGTTACCCAGACTGGAGTGCAATGGCAGGATCTCAGCTCACCGCAACCTCCGACTGCTGGGTTCAAGCAATTCTCCTGCCTCAGCCTCCCGAGTAGCTGGGAATATAGGCATGCACCACCATGCCCAGCTAATTTTTTGTATTTTTAGTAGAGACGGGGTTTTACCTGTTGACCAGGATGGTCTCGATCTCTCGACCTTGTGATCCACCTGCCTCAGCCTCCTAAAGTGCTGGGATTATAGGCGTGAGCCACCGCGCCCAGCCTTATTTGTTTCTTAAAAGCATTATGCTACCATAGTTATGAGCATATGAACATATATGTTATTGCTTGCATTGTATTACTATATTCTCGTTGGGGATCTTGAGTCCCTTCCCACATTTTATTATTTTCTTTTAGTGTTACCATCAGTAGCAAGGTAAGAAATTAATCCAATATGTGGTCTCCTATTAAGGAAGAAGGAATTGATAAATCCCTGTCTGTTCTGACGTTACTTTTACTTCTGCTGTCTGCCACCTGGCTTCTGAATGTCATTCATTAATTATTTAGTAATTAATTCCACCCACATTTCCTGAGCAGAGTTCACCTAAGTTTGGCACGTTGGAGAAAGCAGAGACTATTAAGCTAAGGACTCTGTCATAAGGGGCTCATCATACAGTAAAAGAGACAAGACATGTACAAATAACCGAAATATAACACAGCTGTCAAATAAGTGTAAAATAGGAAGGGAGTATTTGGGGGAGCAGAGGAGAGGACTTCTGGTCAGAAAATCAAAGACAGCTCCATGCCCTATATGGAAGGCCCTGTGTGCTGGACTGTCAAGGGTCCTTCAGGATTTGGGGATTTTGACTGAATCAGAGATTATGGGCTAAAATATAGAGAAAGAGCTGTCTTCACTCTGTGGCGAGAGGCCAACAAACCTATCAGATGAGATCTGGGTAACATTTATCGACCAGGTTAAATCCTGTTACGCCAACACAAAAGGACTGTCCCAAATACTGGGATTTGTCTGGAATAGCTCTTACTACATATCATCCCATCACAGGACAGACTGAGCACCAAACAGCTCATCTCCAGAAGCTTGGGTGAGATGGTTTGCACATTTGCTGGAAAGAGGTTGACCTGTATACTTTCTTAGGAATGGGGAAAAGCTGAATTGGCTGGCACTTGGAAAATGTCTATAGATTCTTGGCTGGGTAAGTGTTTGGGATGCATTTATATAATGCAGTTCCTTTTCCTGCAGCACAAAGATATGACAGTAGTAGGGGGAGGGCTGATCACACAAAAATAATTTTAAATTGACAGTTGCAGAATTGTGTATTGTTTTTACATTGATCTTTTGCTAATGCAATTAGCACCGCTTTGCATATATGACTTAATAAATCCTTGAATCATAAAAGAAAAGAAACAAATTGAAGTGCCCCATACTTGAAACCAACCCCGTTGAGTGATCCAAGTGTACAGCGTCCTCTCCCACCCCAAGTTACAAGCAGCTGAACTGAATTAAAAAAACAGTCCCCCCGTTGCTGCTGTGACCTGGCCTGCCAAATTTTCAGCTGGCGTGAGTTTTTATAGCTCCGTTATAAACCCCTGAAAAGTGAGGCATATAATGGAAACATTGACATAACCTGAACGCCTAGGAGCGGCTTGTGCCACTCTAATTATCCTTATGTCTTATTGGCTGGTATCTCTCCTTCCCCTGGCAGGACCTGCTGCTGCGGCTGGGCCTGACTGTCCCAGGGGCTGGGGGTTCGAAGCTGGCATTTGCTGGGGAATAATGAGATACTGTCTGCTGGTGGGAAACCCCCTGCTCCACACATACTAGCTCCTCCCCTTTGCCTTTCTTCCCTTGTTCTTCTCCTGCACCACCTCCCCCTACCCCCTCCCCCGCAAAAAAAGGCAGAACAGTTCAGTTGGTTGTAAAAATTAATGAGTTCAGATACAGACTTGCCTTATTCCGGTCCAGCTGCGTAACCAGGGTGATTCCAACCAGCATTCTAGACGCTGACATCAGCTCCACACCCCGGCACAATGCTGCTCTGTTTGATCTCAGAAACAGATCGGGCTCCTGGGCTTTATACATCCTGCTTCCTCCCTACGTAAACTCATTTTATTACCCACCGGGAGAGTGCATCTCAACTGCTCTCTCCCTGGGCAGCCAATGCCAGAGGCTCAGGCCCTACAGCTGACTCTTCTTCTACCAGCTGGACACTTTGATCATTTTCTTGGTCCTCTTTGAGGTTTCTCCCCAACCCCCCAGGCATTGACAACCGGTGGAAGATGATGGTGATAATGATTTCACCACTTTTCGTTTTCAGGGCTCTTCTATGTTCCTGTGTGATCTGTGGTCCTTGACTTCCCTGCGAGGTGGAGGTGATACACCCATTTTGTAGATGAAGGAAGTCCAGTAGAGCTGGCGAGGGGCAGAATTAGAAGTGGATCACAGGGTTCTTGACTCATAATCCAGTGCTCATTCCAGGGACCCAGGGGGTTGATCACTTGGTGCAGGCACCAAGCAAGGTAGATTTAGTTTTGCTGTGACCTGAGCTAGAAGAAGGCTCTGTGGACCCACTTTCTGGGAGGCAAAAGGAGAAAGGAAGTGGCAAGTCTACGGCAGGCCCTTCAAAGTGCCTAATGGTGTCCTCAATCTGTCACAGCTCCTGCCCCTTCTACACCCTTTCTTCAGATTGCTGCTGGCTCTGCAGCTAGTCCAAGAAGCTTCACCTCCCAGGAGCACCAGACAGACGATCTCTTGCTTATAGTGGTTCCAGGAGCATCAACCCCAGAGATGAGTTATAAGCAGGTCCCTAAAGAGATTTCAGGAGAAGCTGCTAAAACAGTGGCAAAGCTCTTTAGAAACATAGAAGTATAAACCCTTTTTGTATGGGGAGAACTTCATTCTAAGAGTTCAGAGAGGTTTTCCAGGGTAAGTGTTACAGCACATATCTACTGAACAGGGAAGAGGAGATTAGGGGGTCTGTGTTAGTTTCCTGGAGCTGCCATAACAAAATGCCACAGACTGGGTGGCTTCAACAACAGTCATTTATTCTATCTTGGTTCTGGAGGCTGGAAGTCTGAAATCAAGGTGTCAGCAGGGTCGTGCTCCCTCTGAGATTGAATAGAATCCTTTATTTACTTACTTATTTATTTGCCTCTTTCTAGCTTCTGGAGGTGGCTGTCAGTTCTTGGCATTCCTTGGTTTGTAGCTGCACCACTCTGATCTCTGTCTCTGTCCTCACCTGGCATTCTCCCTGTATGTCTTTGTCTTCACCATGCCCTTTTCCTCTTTTTTTTTTTTTTTTTTTTTTTTTATGGAGTCTTGTTCTGTGGCCCAGGTTGGAGTGCAGCGGCGAGATCTCAGCTCACTGCAACCTCTACCTCCCAGGTTCAAGCAATTCTCCTGCCTCAGCCTACCGAGTATCTGGGATTACAGGCACCCACCACCGCACCTGGCAAATTTTTGCATTTTTAGTAGAGTCAGGGTTTCACCATGTTGGCCAGTCTCAAACTCCTGACCTCAAGTAATTGACCCACCTCAGCCTCCCAAAGTGCTGGGATTATAGGTGTGAGCCACTGCACCCAGCCCACTGTCCTCTTTTTATAAGAACACCACTCACTGGATTAGGGTCCATGCTAAATTAAAATGAAGCCTTGCAACATTGGTGGAGATGAGGCGGTTGTTGTTCAATGACTGACGTCCTTATAAGAAGAGGTCCTTAACTTGATTACGTTAAGTTGATTATATTACCAAGATTCTACTTCCAAGTAAGGTCACAGTCACAGGTGCTGGGGATAAAGACTGTGATGTCTTTTTGGAGGACACAATTCAGTCTGCAACAGGCTCTTATGTTTCTTTCATAGTTGTCGAACTACTTGTCTCTATTCAGAAAAGTAGAAAGTTGGATTGGTTCCCAACTAGCCATTGACAGTGGTGTTAAGAATCCCTTAGAGTTACTCGGAGTTTTACTGACGTGTTTTCACACATATCTTTATTCAGTCCACACAGCAACCCTGGAAATGGCAAAGGGTTATGATTTCCATTTTACAGATGAAGAAGTGAGAAGGAGGAGAAGGGGATGCCATTTGCTCAAGGCTGCTGGCACACTAGGTTTGCTCTGGGACTATCACGGAAAGTTCCTAACCCCCAGCCATGGCTCTTCTTACAGCACAAGAGTGAGCTCAGAGAAGTTGATGAACCTGCCAAGGACCCCAGCTGAGAGACTGAATTGGTGTGCAGATTCCAAAGCTCACATGCATTCCATTTTATCTCATCTTCAGTGGACTTTGAACCTGACTCAGCCTTCACCTTGACCCTTGGTGAAGTTACTGAGAATCAAGACCCAGTGTGGCCATGTCTCTGGAGCTTCCTGGAGCTCAGCAGCTGACTCCCAAACCTGGAGGTCCTCACTCTGCATCCTGTACTCTGCCCTCTGGCTGATCGTCAGCATTCTCAGGCAGCCTGGCTCCCTGTAAAGTTGCTAAAACTTGTGTTTATCATCATCTTCCATCATTTCTAATTGTTTTCCTGTGTCCCTTTCTTTTGTAGAGGATATAAACTCAGCATTTTAGCTTTTGAAATGGATTTGCTGTGCAGATTCATGGCTTTTGAGTGGCTTAAAATGTATTGTTCTGCGAGTCTTTCTGTACCAGTCACAGCATTCACTGTGGGAAGCAGCAGGACGCCAGTGATGCTGATGTTTATTTTACTTTAGGGGGCTTTAAGGCATTCCTGGGACCATAAGGATTAGAAATATTCTGCCTCGTTGTCTTCAGAAGCTACTAAAATATCCTAGAAATTATCATGTTTCATATTTCACATTGCCTCTTGTATCCTTACATGGCCTTTATCAAGAGCCTGGCATAAACCACTGTAATGGTTCTGAAATAGGAACATCATGGTTCTCCAATCACTAAAGCCCTTTCCACTCTGAGACTGGACATTCATTGCTGTTTTCTGCCTGCGCTCTGATTTACAAGACTGTCTATGAATTCTCTGTTTAATATACAGTACGTGGTTGGTTGCCCTCAATGCATGAGACTTCCTGGTATTTTTTCACGTGGTTAGATGGATAACATTTGTTACATATTTATTGTTTAGATATACTAGCAATCCTCACTTTGCAGAATATCAGGTCTGCATATTGAAACCATGTACTCACTTTGAACAATCCTGTGGTAACTGTGAAGTGAGAACACAGGTCTGATAGATATGCGTTTCATTGGTAGTATGCATTGTGAAGACTATCTGAAATTGTTTTCAAATAAAATTTGGATAAGGACTGTAACTACAATAGTTCTTATTCTTAAATAAGCTGGCTCACACCTGTAATTCCAGCACTTTGGGAGTCCGAGGCAGGTCGATCACCTGAGGTCAGGCGTTTGAGACCATTCTGGCTAACATGGTGAACCCTCATCTCTACTAAAACCATAAAAATTAGCGGGGCATGGTGGTAGGTGCCTGTAGTCCCAGCTGCTTGGGAGGCTGAGGCAGGAGCATCACTTGAACTCAGGAGGCAGGGGTTGCAGTGAACAGAAATCACACCATTGCACTCTAGTGTCGGCAACAAGAGCAAGACTCAAAAAAAAAAGAAGAGAAGAAAGAAAGAAAGAAAAGAAAGAAAGAAGGGAAGAAAGAAAGAAAAAGAAAGAAAGGAGGAAAGAAAGAAAGAAAAAGAAAGAAAGAAAGGAGGGAAGAAAGAAAGAAAAAGAAAGAAAGAAAGAAAGAAAAAAAGAAAGAAAGATTGTCCATTGAGCATAAGGTACTACACTCATGTGTGTACTGAAATACTACTCCCACCCTCAAGCCATATAGTAGGATAGACCAGTGAAGTAAGAAAATGACCAAAGACAAAGACTGCTGAAAGTTATGAGGTGAAATTCTGCAAGGACTCAGAGGCAACATGGTCATTTTTTATTGGGAGCAAAAGAAGGCTTATGGATACGTTAGCATTTGCATTGAGCTTTAAGAGAAGAGTGGATTTTAGAAATACAGAAGAGGGAAATGGGAGGTGGGCATTCAACATCAAGCCAACGACATGACCAAAAGTTCAGGAGCAAGCTACAGTACCACACGGCAGAGGAGCAGCAACTCACAGAGAGCACAGGGTGACTCTGACTGCAGAGACCTGGTAGTCTGAGAATTCACTTGATGACATCTTATAACTAAACCTATGAAACCTTAAAACTAAGTTGAAACCAGCTCCCAATTTGAACATCCTCAAGATGGCGGACTAGAGGTGCCTGCACTTGCTTCCATTGCAAAGAAGGACCAAACCAACAAATACATAACCACTCTTGAATAGAGTGTCTAAGAGAGTGTGCACTAAAATTTAGCAAGGAAATGAATGACAATGACCCTCTAGGGCATGGAAATTCAGGATGGCAACATAGAAAGGGAAGTGAAGCAGCCAGCCAGTGTTAGCTGATCGGAGAAGAACTCTGTTGCAGGGAAAAGGTAAGTGGGAAATCCCCAGAAGTCCACATTCCCACCACAGACACCTGCAATCCTGGCTATAAGAGAGTCCCTCAGCACTCAGAGCCCAGTATAGGCAGCTACTTGGAGTCCACATGACTGCATTATTCCAGAGAGGAAATTCACACTAGGGCTCCGCTGGCATCCCACCACATCCACCTAGAGGACTGCAGTGTCACAAAAGCAGCTGAGTTCAGCAATGCAGCTGCAACCCTGGACCTGAGCCTGTGCATGGCCCTACATCCTGGGAAACAGGCAGTTCAGCACAGCAGGGAGGCTGCCCCAGGATAGAGGGAGCCAGTGGGCACACTCCCCAGAGCCTGAGAGCCAAATGTCTTGGGGCCCGCCACTGCCAGCTGCCAGTGACCCTGCCCCCTCCAGCAGTAGACCTACTGCAAACCAGGGCAAGCTTCCCAGGGACTAGCCCACCTGGAACCTACAAATGCCACTGCCAGCAATCTCAACCACTTCAGTAGCAGAGCCACTGTGCACCCACAGGCACTCCCCAGAGGCCCAGGGACTGGGCTGCCTAGTGTTCCTATTCCTGGCAAAGCCATGCCACAGCCTCTACAAACAACTGTAGCCTAGGCCACCGAGATACTCAAAGGCACTACTGATATTGATTACAGCCAAAAAATGCAAAGACTATATTATTGCACCACTCAGAACCAAAGTAAAAGCATCCTATTCAATTGACACTATAGATACATCTACAAGAAAAGACAATTCAGACCTGAATGAGAAACTCAAAAAATCAGATTGATGTTATAAAAAAGAACCATATAGAAACCTTGGAAATGAAAAATTCAATGAATTAAATAAAACATATAATCAAGAGCTTCAACAATAGACCAAGTAAGAGAAAGAATCTCTAAACCTAAATACAAGTCTTTTTAAATAACCCAGTCAGATAAAATAAATAAAAAAGAATCAAAGCTCATGTGACATATGGCACACTATTAAGCAAATTTGCATTTTGAGAGTTTAAGAATGAGAAGAGATGGGAAAAGGCATAGAAAATATATTTAATGAAAAAACAGATGAAAACTTCTCAAGACTTAGGAGAGATATAGACATCTAGATATAGGGAGCTCAAAGATCCCCAAATAGATTCAACCCAAAAAGGTCTTTGAGGCACATTATAGTCAAACTAACAAAAATCAAAGACAGAGAATTCTAAAAACAGTCAAAGTGTCAAGTAAGATATAAGGGAATCTCCATCAGACAAACTTCAGATTTCTCAGCAGAAACCTGAGAGGCCAGGAGAGAATGAAATTATATATTCAAAGTGCTAAAAGAAAAAAATTGCTAACTAAGGGTACTATACCCAGCAAAACTATCCTTCAAGAACGAAGGAGAAGTAAAGTCTTTCCCAGACAAACGAAGACTGAGGAACTTCATCGCCACTTGACTGGTCTTACAAGAAATGCTTGAGGGGATCCTATTCTACCTGGAACCAAAAGGATGATATCTACCATCATGAAACAACATGAAAATATATAATCCACTGTGGAGCAGGTACACAAGTTAGAAAGAGAAAGGAATCAAATGTTATCACTACAGAAAACCAGCAGAACACAAAAATACAATAAAAGAGGAATAAAGGAACAAAAGACATACAAAACAACCAAAAACAATTAACAAAATGAAAGGAGTAAGTCTTCACTTTTCAATAACAACTTTGAATGTAAACAGTTTAAACCTGAATTAAAAGATATAGGCTGGCTGAATCAATTTAAAAAAAAAACCAAAAAACAAAGAAACAAGATCCAACTACATTCTGTCTATAACAAACTCATTCATCTGTAAAGACATACAGAGATGTAAAGTGAAGGCATGGGAAAAAATATTCCACACAAATAGAAATAAAAAATGTGTAGAAGTAGCTATACTTAATTCAGACAAAATAGACTTTAGTCAAAAAATAAATAAAAAGAAACAAGATCATTACATAATAAAAAAGGGATCAGTTCACCCAGAAGTTATAACAACTGTACATATACATGCACCCAACACTGGGTCACTCATAAATACAAAGCAAATATTATTAGAGCTAAAGAGACTGTAGACTCCAATACAATAATAGCTTGGGTCTTTCATATCCCACTTTCAGCATTGGACAGATCATTTAGACAAGAAATCTTTGTTTCACCAACAAACATTGAACTTAGGCCATGAAACGAGTCTCCACATTTTTTTAAAATAAAAATCACATCAAGCATCTTTTCAGACCACAATGGTATAAACCCAGAAATCAATAACAAAAGGAAGATTAGAAACTATACAAATACATGGAAATTAAACAACATTCTCCTGAATGGCTAATGCATCAATAAAGAAATAAAGAAGGAAGACAATTTAAAATTTCTTGAAACAAATAAAAATAGAAATGCAATATACCAAAACCTATAAGATAAAGCAAAAGCAGTACTAAGAAGGAAATTAATAGCAATATATGCCTACATTAAAAAAGTAGAAAGATTTCAAATAAACAACCTAGTGATGTGCCTCAAGAAACTAGAAAAGCAAGAAAAAACAAAACCCAAAATTAGTAGAAGGAAATCAAAAAATATCAGTGAAGAACTAAATAAAATAGAGACAAAAAAATCAACAAAATGAAAAGTTATTATTTTTTTTTTGGTCAATAAAATTGACCAACTATTCGACAAACTAAGAAAATGAGAGACAGGACACAATTAAATAATTTGAGAAATAAAAAAGGAGACATTACAACTGACAAAGGGTCATTAGAGGCTATTATGAAACTATAGACCAACATATTGGAAAAACTACAGGAAATTGATAAAATCCTGGACACATCTAACCTACAAAAATTGAACCAGGAAGAAACAGAAAACCTGAACAGATTAATAACAAGTAATGACCAGTAATAAAAAGTCTTCCTAACAAAGAAAAGCCCAGGACCAGAAGGCATCACTGCTGAATTCTACCAAGGTTTTGAAGAACTAACACTAATTCTTCTCAAACTATTTTTAAAAATTGAAGATGAGGGTAATCTTTCTAACTTGTTCTATGAAGCCAGAATTACCCTGATACCAAACTCAGACAAGGACACAACAACAACAAAAAAAGCCACAGGCCCACATCCCTGATGAACACAGATGCAAAAATCTGTAATGAAATGCTAGCAAAGTGAATCCAACAGTGCATCAAAAAGATAATATACTATGATTAAGTGGGGTTTACCCTAGGGATGCAAGGATGGTTCAACATATGCAAATTAGTTAATGTGATACATCACAACAACAGAATGAAGGACGAAAACATACGATCATCTCAATAGATATTGGAATATATATTGGTATAAATACACAAATTAAAATTATTCTGACATAATAAAGAAGGAGATTCTATAATTCATGGCAACACAGATAAGCCTGGAGGTTATGATGTTAAATGAAATGAGTCAGACACAGAAATACTGAAGGTACTCATTCGTGTGCAGAAGCTAAAAATCATTGAGCTCATAAAAGTAGAGAGTAGAATTGTGGTTATTAGAGGCTAGGAAGGGTGACAGGGAAGGGAAGATAGGAGAAGTTGATTAACAGATACAAAATTGTAGCTAGATAGAAGGAATAAGTTCTAGAGTTCTACAGCATTGTAGCATGACGATAGTTAACAATAATTTATGGTACATTTTCAAATAGCTAGAAAAGAGGATTTTGAATATTCCTAACACAAAGAAATGATAAATGTTTGAGGTAATGAATATGCTAAATACCCTGATTTGATTATTACACATTGTATACATATATCAAAATATCACGCTACACTCTATAAATATGTGTCAATCATTAT